TTGGCCATTATGTTTTAAAATGTTATGTTAGTTTATATTTTAAAAAGATAATATTTCAAAAATTTTGGATTTAGTATCATACAAGGAGAAAAACTTTATCAAATTACAAGATGTCACATGTCCTTCAAAATTAATAAATTGAAAAAATTTTTAAAACCAAATTATGTATTGCCATATGAACTTGATGACACCATTTAAACTAGTTATATTATTAATTTCAAAATAATTAATTTCTTGACTAACTATTTCAAAGATGCATAATTGAACTAGCTTTAACTATACCCAAACAAAGAAAAATACATTAAAATTCACCCATGAGTACTTATTAAAAAATTACGAAATAAGACTCCGAGCCAATATTTACAAGTCTTTTACCTTGTCAAGATTAATGCAAAGTGATTCCAGGATTTTGATTATAGACGTTGTATGAGCCTATTGATCTCCAAAAACTTGTCATGAGAAATTATTAGGAAAATGAACAATAACCAACTTTGCACAGTATAAAAACCTTAACCTAACAATGGACGGAGAGTGATGGTTTTCTAGAGAGGGGAGAGTTTGGTTTTCACCTTAATTTTTTTTTTAACTAAAAGTGTAATTTTTTTGAAAGATCTTAGGACTTTTTTTTTTATATAAATTGTTTTATCAGGTAATTTGGTAAATTTATTTAGAACTCCAAGTATATAATTATCATGTAATTATTTTTAATTTACCAAAATAAAAGAATAAAACATACACATATCTAAACAGGATGATTGTCATGAGTGTTTTGCCTTAAAATCCAACAGACATATTTTTCCTGTAAACATGAGAAAAAGTTACTTTGTAAAATCCTTGAAATCCATGTTGTACATAAAATGCTATACTCAGAACATGAAAAAACACAAATCAACACTATTCTAATAATTCTATGGGTTTCTTTTTTCTTGTTTAAAAGATATTTAATTTAGCTTAAAGACCATTCAATTTATTGACAAGTGCCCAGAAGAATGACATTACTCTACCCTTCTTTGCACCCCTTGTTCACCCTTATCCTTCAAATTTGTCTGTTTCTCTTTCTTTCATAATTATTTAATGAATCTGAGCTTTACCCAGACTTGTCGGAAGAATTTTGGCTAGCAATTTTGCAATCAAACCTAGACTAGAGTCAAGAGAAGAGGTTTTTAACGTTAAAGTTAAAGAGTTGATGTAATGTTTAGTTAGGAGTGAATTTGAGATAAAAAGAAAAGTCCTTGTTTTTATATATGAAGCAAGCAAACCAAAGAAAGCAAGCTGGAAACTTCCTTCTACACCATAATGTACGCCAACCTTGACTTAAAGGTTGTTGCGTAACCACTGGGTTAGCACTCAGTCGTGACGATGGTCAGATGGGATGGTGCCTATATAATGAAGGATTGTATTTGCACTCTCATGAAGCATTATCTGAGCACCACATTGTCTACTCTACCCATCAAGAAATGGATGCCAATCCTTGCCTACTAGTTTTCGTGTTGATCCTCGGCCTCGGCCTCCTACTTTCACATACCACTCATGTAGTTGAGGCTGTTTCTGCTCCTGACGCTAATGTTCCTTCCTTTGATTTCCCATCTAAGTTTAAGCCTGTGTCCAAAAGGCGGAAATCTCCCCCATTACCACCACATCCGCCTCTTCCTAATCAACCACATCAGTGGTGGAAACCACCTGGGCACCACCCGTACAAGTACAAGAGTCCTCCTCCTCCTCTACTGCCACGCTGGCCATCACCATTGCAACCACCGGTCTAACATTTGCTAGCTTCTGTTAGTTAATAAAATATAATAGAAACTATATACTTTTAAACTTAATCTTATGTGGCTAATAGCTATTCCACCACTATTATTTCTGTTTCTTTGATGAAGAACAGAGATGGAAAGTCCTTGGCTATGCAATTCTACTTGAATAAAATTGATTCTCTGCTCCAAGATTTTATCAGATTTGTTTCTCGCATGTCTTTCCTGAGAAGCGAATTTCTTCGCGCAAGCTCCCTGTGATGGAATTCTACAACTCATCAAAAGTATTCAGCTAAGAAGAAACCAGAAAAGATCAAGAGAAATCTTGAGAAAAGAAAATAAGAGAGAGAGAAAATATGATATGTAATTGAAAATTTTATTACTTCAGTCTTAAACTGATCTTACTACATGATTTTTCTATTTATATGGGTCCTTAACTACAATGGTTTACTAACCAATCAGTATCAACTAAACTCTTCTAACTATAGTTAATATTACTAACTACAGTTCAATTAAATTACACATAAGGCTTCTCATGTACAAGCTATCCGTTTCTCTTTTTTATTTCTACAATCAGATAGGATCTCTTTACACTCCCCCTCAAGATGTGTTTGTATGTTTAGCATACACATCTTGTTAAGCAAAAATTGAAACTGCCCAGGCAATAATGCCTTTGTGAAGAGATCTGCTAGCTGCATCTTGATCTGTACATAACTTGGTTAATCAAACCAGCAGTCACCTTCTCTCTAACAAAGTGACAATCCACTTCAATATGCTTCGTTCTCTAGTGGAAAACAGGATTTTTACATATACTGAGTGCTGACTGATTATCACAAAACATCTCCACAGCATCTCTATGTTCAAAGCCAAAGTGTTTTAACAAGAATAAAAGCCAAATAACTTCACTGCTAGTAGTAGACATAGCTCTGTATTCAGCCTCTGTTGAACTCTTGGCTACAATAGTTTGCTTCTTGGATTTCCAACTCACTAAAGAGTTACCAAGAAAATCGCAAACCCTGTTACTGACTTCCTTGTTGTAGGGCATCCTGCCCAGTCACTATCACAATATGCCTTTAACTGCATGTCAGGTGTAGATGAGAGAAGTATGCCCTGTCCTGGTGACCCTTTTAAATACTTCAAAACTCTATAAGCAGCCTGTAGATGTACATTTCCAGGCCTCTCCATGAACTGAGATAAAATTTGTACTGCATACACAATATCTGGCCTAGTAAATGTCAAATACAATAGTTTTCCCACCAATTGTCTATACATTGAACTATTTTTCAGCAAGTTAGAATCTTCAGCATTGGTTATTTTATAGTTGTAGTCCATTGGTGTAGATGTAGGTTTAGCTCCTAATAATCCATGTTCTAGAATTAAATCCAAAGCATATTTTCTTTGACATAACAAGATCCCTTTGTGTGACCTTGCTATTTCTATCCCAAGGAAATATTTTGGCTTTCCAAGGTCTTTCAACTTAAACTTCGACCTCAAAAACTGCTTTATTTCATTCTCAATAGCAGCAGAAGAACTAGCCACCATAATATCATCAACGTATACAAGTAAAGCAACAAATTCTCCTTCTTTAGCTCTCTTTGTAAAAAGAGAATAATCTGATTTTGATTGTACGAAACCAGATTGCACCAATGTCTCCGTGAACTTGGCATTCCACTGTCGAGAAGCCTGTTTAAGGCCATACAACGATTTCTGCAATTTGCAAACAAACTTAAAACCCGAAGGTGGACACTCCCCCTTAAGGTCATAACCTTGAGGAATTTCCATGTACACGTCTTCAAATAAATCGCCATTGAGAAATGCATTGTTAATATCCAATTGGGATAACAACCAACCATTTGCAGCAGCCAATGCCAAAGAAAGCCTTACTGTAGTTTGTTTGGCCACAGGACTGAATGTGTCCTGATAATCAAAACCTTCCCTCTGGTTGTATCTTTTGCTACTAATCTAGCTTTAAACCTATCAACACTCCGATCAGCTTTAACCTTTACTTTGTAAACCCATTTGCAGCCTATGGCCTTAAGATTAGAAGGCACTGTTTGTACTGTCCATGTATGATTCTCTTCCAAAGCATCTAATTCATCCTTCATAGCAATTCTCCACTTATCATGCTGAACAGCTTGTGAGAAAGATTGTGGTTCTGATATTTGGCTTAAGGCTACTGTAAAAGCTTTATGGCTAGAAGATAATTGGTCAGCAGATAAGTAATTATGAATAGGATAAGCTGTAACTGATGAACTCAATGATGGACATTGATAAGATTCAAGATATCTTGGAGGTTTCTTTAATCTAGTACTTTTCCTAGGAGTAAGAGGTGGATGAATAGTTTCAGATTGTGACTGAAAAGAATCAATGTCCTGATTTGAAACATTAAACTCTGGTTCAGGTAAAACAGGCTCATCATTAGGTAAAACAGATGTTGGTTCAGGTACAACATATTCTTGACCAATTTGATTTTCTGGTTTTGGTTCAATAGTGGAATTAGTAGGCAAATGAACAGGAATATTAAAATCAGGTATAGAATAAGAAGGTTGTGGTATAGTGAAGGGAAGAGAATTAGAAGAAACAAGTATAGTATCCGATTTTTGAAAGGGAAATATATTCTCATGAAAAATGACATCCCTGGAAATAAAACACTTATGAGTTGTAAGATCATAAAGCTTATAACCTTTGACACCCATTGGATAGCCAAGAAAAATACAACGTTTAGCTCTATGTTCAAATTTCTTTCTGTTATGAGACAAGGTACAAGCAAAACATAAGGATCCAAAGACTCTAAAATGAGAATAAGAAGGTGGCTTATGAAACAAAAATTCAAATGGTGTTTTATTTTTGAGAATTGGAGAAGGAATCCTATTTACAATATGAGCAGCAATAAGTACAGCATCTCCCCAAAAAGAAACAGGCAATGAAGCTTGAAAAAGAAATGCTCTAGCTATGTTAAGAAGATGTTGGTGTTTTCTTTCCACTATGCCATTTTGCTGAAGTGTATCTACACATGTAAAATGATGCACAATGCCATTTTTTGAAAAAAGAATCTGTCAAATTAAACTCATGTCCATTGTCTAATCTTAAGTACCCAACATGTTTGTCAAAATGATTAGATACCATTTTACAAAAGATAGGTAAAATTGTACTTACATCAGACTTGACTCTCATAAGATATAACCATGTGAATCTAGTAAAATCATCAACTATGGTTAGGAAATAATGATGACCTCCTAAAGTAGAGGTTGAATAAGGCCCCCATATGTCAACATGAATTACTTCAAAAGGTAATGTTGTATTTTTTTATATGCAATGGAAAAGAAAGTCTCTTTTGTTTTGCTAAAAGACAAATGTTGCATTGAAAATTTTCCTTGAAATTCACATCACTACAAGTATCATGAATCATTTTCAACCTTTGTGTTGATACATGGCCTAACCTAAAGTGCCATATATCAAAATCATTATTCAAAGTTGTACAAGTAGTGACAGACTTCAAAGGCATTGAACAAACATTTTGTAAATGAAAAGGAACACTGGAAAATTTATTTGGTGAAACTTTAGCAGACTTTTTTGACAATTGTGCATTCAAATCTTTCTGCAAGATATACAACCCAGCTATGGCTTTAGCATGACCCATCATTGTCCATGAACTGATGTCCTGGATTAAGCAATGATTATCAGTAAAAATGAGGATATGTTTCTTTTGCTGTGTAAATTTATTCACAGAGAACAAATTGAAATTGAAGGAAGGTACTAAAAGAACATTATCAAGGATCAAATTATTGGACAATTGTACTGTTCCAATATGAGAAACAATGGCTTTACTTTTATTAGGCATGTGAACAAACAAATTCCTAACTGGTTTATAAGACTTAAACAAATGCAAAGAACAAGCTATATGATCCGTGGCTCCCGTGTCTAATATCCAAGTGTCATTTTTCAATAAGAATTTATATGAATTCAAAACAGAATTAATAGCAGACAAACAAATTGGATTGGAAACCATACCTGCAAAAGTTGAGTTCACAAGAGAAGGTTTGTTGTTGTGTTGAGTGAATGTAGGTGGTTCATTCTCATTTGCTTGTCCTCCATGTTCAGTGATCATTGCCATCAAGGTTTGAAATTGACCCTTTGTTAAAGAAATTTGTGAAACAGGATCAGTAGTAGAATCATCATCTTGACCCTCTGAAGTAGCAATAACAACACTATCAGTATATGCAACTTTCTTCCTGAAATTACCCTTGCGCTTAGTGAATTTAAAATTTTCAGGAAAACCCACAAGCCTATAGCACTTATCCTTTGTATGGCCCTTCTTTCCACAATAGTTACAAACAAGATTACCAGTTGGTTTCTTCTTATCATCTGAAATAGTCGCCATAGCAGAAGCATCTATTAATGGCTGAGACTGCATTAACAAAGACCTCTGAGATTCCTCACGAAGTACCAAGTTATAGGCTTCATTCAAGGTTGGAAATGGCTTTAACAGCAAAATTTGTGACCTCAATGCCGTATATGAGCTATTTAATCCATTCAGAAATCGAAAAACACAATCCTTGTGATATAGATCAGTGAACTTCTTATAACAATTCTACTTACACCCTCCACAATCACAATAAGGTAAGGGTCTGTAGTTACGGAATTCTTCCCACAAAGAATTCAGCTCTGAAAAGTAAGAATTGATTGACCTAGTTCCTTGAGTTATACTGCACAATGAATATTGCAAATTGCAAATACGAGTATCATCTGGTTGGCTAAACCTTTCCTTCAAAGTTTCCCAAATTTGTTGTGCAGTATTCATGTAAAATACTGTGGAGGCTAATTCTGGTGTCAAAGACTCTAACAGCCAGGCCACAATTAGGTTGTTACATCTACTCCAAGGCACAAAAAGTGCATCCCCAAGTTTTGGTCGTGTAATTGTTCCATCCAAAAAACCAGTTTTATTTCGAATTGAGAGTGCCAAAAGAAATGAACGACTCCAAGAAATATAGTTCTCAGTTGACAATTTGGGATTTATCACCACCGAACCATGATGTTTGGTGTGATGAACAAAATAAGGTGAAAAGGGGTCTTCCAAAGGGGAAATTGCTGATTTGGAAGATGTATCAGCCATTATTACTCAAGAAATTCAAAAGATTAAGGAAGAAAACTTCAAAACCAGATGAATGATGAATTTCTAGGGTTTCTCGAAATTTTGATGATCTCCAATCAACTCATTGATGTATTCCGATCAAAATAGCTTCATATTTCGATCAATGATTGATTAATCTGCTCTGATACCATGATGAAATTCCACAACTCATCAATAGTATTCAGCTAAGAAGAAACCAAAAAAGATCAAGAGAAATCGTGAGAAAATAAAATAAGAGAAAGAGAAAATATGATATGTAACTGAAAATTTTATTACTTCAGTCTTAAGCTGATCTTACTATTGGATTTTTCTATTTATCTGGGTCTTTAACTACAATGGTTTACTAACCAATCACTATCAACTAAACTCTTCTAACTATAGTTAATACTACTAACTACAGTTCAATTAAATTACACATAAGGCTTCTCATGTACAAGCTATCTGTTTCTCCTTTTTATTTCTACAATCAGATAGGATCTCTTTACACTCTGGAAGATGATGGCTGCTACCAGAGCAGAAGCTTTGATTTCCTGGCTACTTCAGTCCACTATTCTTGATACTGTCTTTCTTTCTTTTTCTTTTTTTCGATTTTTATATAAATTATAATATTATAAATTAATATTTTAATAAAAAAAATAAAAAAAGTAAAAGATATAAAGTCACACGTGATTTGGCGGAGTGAAGAAATTTTGGAAATTTGTGACAATTTTAGACCTTTTGTTTTGCTTTAATCTCCTAAATTTTTAATTAAAATGTTGTAATTTAGAATAGTTTGTGCCTTTTGAAAACAAATTAAATATTCAAATAAAAATGGAGAAATTGATTTTCTTTTATTATTATATTTCTTTTTCTCACGATTCATTTTTCCATTCTTTAGTTTTTCCTTTTTAAGATATTAAACAACTTATAATTTACAATAATTTGACTAAAAAACTTATTGAATATAAAATTTTAACAAACTTAATTTTAATTTTTTTAAATTACAACTACTAGCATAAAAAACAAAGATATTAGTATGTGTGTGTATATATATATATATATACATATACATATAATATATATATATGAGTGTATGTATATGATTAGAAAACTCTTTTAGTTTTAAATTAAGAATGGAGTTGACTTTTTCTGTGCTCGGACAAAATTGAATTTCTTTGGACGTGATTATTAGTTTTAGAAGTTATAATCAAACAATAAAATATTTAATCTCCACAAATAAAATTAAACGATTGTTATATATTCAATTTTCATATTGAAAAATATGCTTTTATTGATATTAAAAGCAATAAGCCATAATGTATTGGCTTACCCAAGTGCATAAGAAATAGAGAAAAGAAGTGATAACCCCATGCCATTTTGGAGGAGCCAGATTTGGGGATGTCTAGCTTCAATGAAGAAGCATACAATGCTGTCCACTTCTTGCATTCGGTGACAACACTAGCTGTCCAGATTTTTATTGCCCATGTCCTTGCAATCCAGCTTTTGTACTCACATTCCATTCAATGCATGCCTCCTTTGTCATTGGGAGTCTCCAAGAGACCAACTCTCAAGCAAGTAAATGAATGAAATCAAATTGGTTCCGCTCTATATATCCAGCCCATGAATTTCTGCTTTCCATTTCCACCGTCAAAGTGTCACAGCCCATTTAAAAAATGTGATCTTGTTCTTGTTCAGATCACAAAATATTAATCACGTAATCCTGATCCAATCCCCATATCGTGCATGCATAATACGAACCAGCTGTGTATTAGGATTGATTCACAGGTTGCTGAATATTTCTGCTTGTGTTTTGAGAAAACCTGTAGCAAGTCTCCATGCCTCTAAACTCCCGATTTAGCCAAGACATCAGCATTCTTATTAGCTTCACGTAACATGTGTTATCCTTCAATTGTTTACATGTTGTTTTAAGACTGTCCATGCACGAGGGTCACTTCCTCATTCTCCAAGCGACTGCATTTCTTGAATCGCCTTTAATCCACAAATCAAAATCATGAAACCATTCAAAGACTGTAAAGATAATGAAAGCTTTCCTAATAGCTAGCATTTCGGCTAAATTAGAGTCGCCCCTACCAAACATTGTTTCTTCCTTTGCTCGAATTAACAAATCTTCATAATAAGAAAAATGATTGAGGATTATTTGGTGTCACTCATTTAAAGTTCCATTCTGCACAGCACATGCTCCATACCTTCCACGATTCAATGCAAGTAAAAAATAGGTGATAGACAGTGAAATAATACATCAACAAATGAACTAAAGAGCGAACCCCTTCCACACCTTTCGCTAAAGCTCTGCATTGTCACATTGCATGATTGTCGCAAGTCGGATTTCTGAGGAGAACATACCACTTGTCTTAGGTTTCCAAAACACCCCATTTGACATGGAATCACTAATAAAAGAATTTGTTACTCGGTGAAAGTTGAGAAATAATATTTTCTCAAAGATTAAAGCTTTTACAAGTAATAGCAGTATTGAGCAAAAGGACATTTGGCTCATAGTCATTCTTTGCTAGCAACATTTCTGTCCATAGGCTCCATAATCCAATTACCCCATCTCCTTTCAAAACTATTATATGTTCATTTAATTATTAGTTTCAAGTAATATATTCTAATAAAACATGTATCACTCTCTATTCTAACTTGTATAATTTAAAAACCTCATCATCAATGTATAAAATAATTTTTCCAAATTTTGGGGAGGAGGACATTTAAAAGGTCCATTGACAATATATATAAAAAATAATAATTATAATGGAATCATTTTTAAAGTTTTTTCAGCAAAAATTATGCTCGTCCTCTACCTTGTTTCCAAGCTTTTATATCTAATTTTCATTATCACCAACGTTGCTCTCAAATCACCGGTAATCATATTTTAATAATTCAATTAACCTGCATGTCAGCAATACAATAAAAACATTGTCTTAAACCAACAACACTAACTACAGGTGCTTAACGAGGAAAGCAAAATTCGAGCTAGCAATTTTGGACACCATCAACACAATATACGAAGATTCGAAGTTAAACAGGATTTAATTTTATAGTATTTCGTGTCTGAATCATGTCAATATATTCAAAATACAAAAAAAAAAATTTATGCCTTTTAAACATGTCAAATATGGTTAATACATTTAAATTTGTTTAAGTAATTGTGTTTAATTCGTATAGATGGACACATTTATCAACCTATTTAAGTTTAAAAGTAAAAGATTATTTTTATTATGATAATGTATTTTATAGATGATATTTTTGTTGAATTTTATTCTGTTTGATTATATTATTAACTTGTTATACATGTTTTTATGATTATTGATTTTAAATTTAAATAATAGAATTATATTTTCATTGAAAGTTTTTTTTTAATTGTGTATTAATTAATCACGTTAATCGTGTTAAAATTAAATCATGTTAAATTTTTAATCGTGTCATATTAAATTGAACTCTATATGTTTAATAAACAGAGTTAATGATATCAAATCATGTTACATGATTATTAAATGTATCCGCGTATATATTTTAGATCTTGACACAATTAATTAATCATGTTATGTCTATATTCACTCATATAACTGTTAATGTTTATGTTTATACAATAATAGTAAGACACAATAACAGGAATTGTCAAAGCCCAAACAAAATCCATAAAGCAGCTTTGTTGGTTTGCTTTCTGATATATAGAAATGGCTGGTTTGGCATCCAGTTATATAGTTTGATCTACAAGCAAAGCAAAATCCATAAACCAGCTTTGCATACTGATATCATACTCAAATAATTACAGCCCCCTTACAGTATGAATCAGTAAGAAGAGCCCAACTTTTCATAAAGATATGAATGTGTTTGACATTTAGTATGTTTGGTAGAAACTTTGGTAGATATGCATGAATACAGCAATTAGCATGTATATCTTTCTATACAAGATATCCACTGCCCCCTTATAGTATGTTTGGTAGGAATGAAGGAAAATACAAGGCAAAAAGTGAGGAAAGAAAAAAGGAAGGACCTCCATCTTACCCTCCTACCAAACATAGTGCAAGTATTATGTGGTATCTTGTCAAATTTTCAAGAGTGAAAAAACTATGAGAGCTAATTCCCTGTTAGTTCAACCCAAATATAGAAGACAGCTAATGACATAAACTGGCCACTGCCCTATGACAACAGTGCCCATATAAGCAAGCTTGGAATATTAATTAGTTGAAGACTGATGACAGACACTTCATGAAAATGACTTCAGGTTAGTAGAAGTATCCGGTTAGCTTGTAGGCAGAACATTTGAAGATACATAAGGTGATCTGCATCCCTTGACCTGTAAAATCACAAATAACTAAATAACTGATCGCCAAGATAAGGTCCAAAGTAGTAATAGTTGAAGTTAATGCTATTAGCGCTCTGACCATATAGAATGTTATCAAAGAAAATGGGAAAACAGTGGAAAGACCCATCAATTACTAACTTTATCGTTCAAAATACTGTAAGGCAATGCATTAGAACACAAAAATCTTAATATTTTGAAGACAATATGATGCAAGAGGATGTACATACTACATACTAAATAGGTGACTAAAAATAGTAAAATGGAAATGTTAGTTTAGTTTATAATGTGGATACAAGTTAAGATGACTGAATAGAGAGGTATTAGTAGTGATACAGACTGCACACAAACAAGACGCCACTTAATTTAGCTGGACTGCTTCCCATGGAAATTTTGCACTTATATATTGCCAACTTAGGACCAATTAAGTGGTACTTTTCTCTCTCCCGCCCACCCATCCCCACTATTACCCCCCATCTTGTGTTATAAGAACCAAGCATCCTATATACTCTTACCCATGGAAATTATTCCGGTCAGTCTATCTGGCTAACCCACCTCCTAAAGAGCGGGAAAATGGGGGGAGGGGGGAGGATTGCCATGAGAAGGCATAGCAAATACAGTTTGGCCTTTACAAATATTACAGTTTTAAGGGTCAACTTACCTGCAACAAGCAAGTAGGAATTTGAATATAGCCCTGCAGCAAAAGATTGACCTTCTCCAGAGTGCTCTGAGGAACAGGAGTGATCAAATAGAGCAAACCTTTGAACATGTCAATTCCTCTCACAATTCCTAGTTCATAAAGACAAGAAGTAAGAAGAAATAGAAAAAATCAAGTTACTTCAATACTACTTTTAAGTCCTGATGGGGGAGGGGGGTAGAAAAGTTCACGCTGATATTTACCCTAGGTAAGTCGCACTAGGATCTTAATCACCTCGCTATCCAGCCCTTCTCATTGACAGAATGCTTTTCTCTTTGCCAGTTTAAAGATAGTGATCAGTTTTCATACTCCATTTTCAGGAGATTTCTAAGACCGCGTATTATTCTATAAAGATTTTATCTGTATGTGCCACAAAACCACCAACAAAATGTTGCTGGCTTGTTTATCATGGAAGTATGCATTTATATATTTATATGCTATTAATTAACCATAGATGGATAGCCATAAAGACTTCTTGACTTCTTCCAATAAAATGGATGGAAAATTAAGGGATCAAAAGACTATGCAAAGCAATATAATAAAGATAGAGTTATTGATGATCAAGCAAATCAACGGAAGCAGTGTAACCCACACCTACCAAGACCAACACACCAGGGTAAACTTTCAGACTCCTCTGAACTAACAGCCAAGCCAACAATAGTTGCATTCAAACTGTAGAAAATTTCAGTGCTTGGGACCTAGAATAAAATGCAAACCATTATAGGAGTTTACTTGTACAGAATCAATTTTAGTATAAAATACAAAAGTAAGAGAGATACTAAAAAAAGTTTATATTGGCCATGCAATCATCACTATGTCCTTCTTAACATTATGTAATGAAAAAAATTAAAAAAGAAATGGAGGTCTCGTTTCTTGAAACACAGAAGAAGTAGACAAAGCTTCCAAAACAGCATCAGGCATTTTTTTTTTTGGGTAAATGAAGAAAATATTATTGTGAGGAAATTGGGTCAAACAGGGCCATGCAAACAATACAACCAATATAGCTGGCCCCACATAGTGAGAAAAGGCTAATATGTTGTTCTCAAAGGAAATTTATTGCAAAAAAAAAAAAATCATTTAATGATATCTAACCTGGCAATGAAGATGTCTGATTTTGATACTTGATATTGGAACTTCATAAGGAAAATGAGAAGCAAGTGCATATGCAAGTTCTTTGATTGTAGTAATAGGCTTGTCATTAGAAAAAATCTGCCTGAAATAAGCCATTATCCGCAAATCCCGCAGAAGGCTAGCATCCTTCTGTACTAGAACTCTACAAAAAATAGAAATTAAGGTAAGAAGTAGGAAAGCAAAGCTACATCTCCCAAGCATTATTCATGGGTTTTGGCAAATATGCACAACTTACTACAATAACATAACATATAAAAGAGACAAACCTTCTATCTAGAAGAATCACTAATTTAGTATCAATAATAATCATAAGGTATGTTTCAAATTGGAATTTCAAAGAAAACATCTACCTTAACTCAGCAGCATAACAAGATAACATTAAGCAGCCAAACAAAGACCATTAAATGCATACTAAAGTAATTTATCACTTGAAATGGGCACCCCTGTTACAATTTAGATCTCAACCATATACAAATATAGGTAATATGTACCAAGTTGGTATATAAATGGACAACAGACGCATAAGATGTGAAATTATTTAATGAACCATAATATCAGGCGCAAAGTCCCAACTATGTGAAACCAGCACCCAAAACCATTGAAGTAAGGTACATTGTTATAAAATTCTAGGGCAAATTTAAAAAATCTATTTAACTTACTGAGATTCAAGATCTGAAAATTTGCAAGTTAACCTTAAGGTGGCAACAGACTTACGATCTATTTAAGGAGTCCTGGTGAGCTGATTTAATCTCTACGATATTAGCCATCCCATCAGAGTCACCATCCAACCAGAATGCTCCACCTGGCAGATTCTTACTCCCAACAGATATGTTTATCTTAACAACATGAGTAGGAGAAATGTATTTCAGCATATCCACCAATATCTCATAACCAATACCTGACAAACAAATGATTTTCAAAACATTAACAATATATTTCTAGTAAGTTACATCAATCTTTGTGTGACCAAAATAGATATCTGAAAAATGTCATTTCAGAACAAGAAGTGGTTATGGTAACAACTAGCAAAGAAACAAGGGAATTAGTCAATTGGATGCAGATCATAGCATACCTTTCACCCATCCAGGGGTATTGACAACAAGAGGCAATTCAGTCCTACCAGCATGTTCACTCTCGTCAAACATGCAGTATTCCTTTCGATAGTAATCATAGAGGGTAAATGCATATTTCAAGTATCCTGATGGGTCCCTTTTTGAAGAAATGTCACCAAAGAAAAAACACCTAATAGAAAATCAAACTGAAGATTTTTAGTGCCCATTACAAACACTAACAAATAGATCTCAAGTTCATTCTTGAGATACTCAATCCTCAACCAAAGTAAAATTAACAAAAAAGGTAAAAATACATATACCTCTCAGGCGTCTTCAAGCATGGGATTGCCAAATCTATTTGGACAAACAAAAATTATAGGAAAGCCCCAGTCAATAGACAAAAGCCAAGTTTATTAACCCAGAGAGGAGATTTTAAGGATACGAAGGAAAGACAAGATGTTAAGAAAGCCGAATACCTGGGGTTAGTTTGTCAACAACCGTAAGGGACAGGAAACCTGGAGCAGTGAACTCAGGCTGCCCAACATCTGTGTCCAAATAAGCTACTTTTTGGTACCTGTTAACAACATACCCACCAGATGATCATAATGAAGTTATTAATTCTCATAAAAAGAACATGAAATATTCAATTCAAAAGGAAGGTCACTAAATGTCAGTTTACAAATAATTGCTTAGAGCTCCGGCTTTGCTTTTTCCATCCACTTACAAAATACAACAGCAAAGAACACAATTTTTACCCTCCATAATAACAGCTTGAACAAGTCCAAATAAATCAAATAGATATATTAGCCTTTATTTCCTCACTCCATAAACTACAATTAGCCACAAAAAGTGAAATAAAATAAAATCTGGAGCAAACCCATTAAAAACACCCCTCAAAAATAAACTGTTTCAGATAATAAAATGCATATTTAAAGAATTAAATAGAAACCCATTTCAGTACAAGTAAATGAAAACACAGAGAAATTAAAAAAAAAAAAAGAGCAACGATTATCTTAATGATATAGCAAGGTCCAAACCTTTGGAGAAGAATGTTAAGGAGGAGACGAGAGAAAGTGGTTTTTCCAGAGTTTTTAGCACCACAGATGAAAGCAATAGGAGGTGGCGAAGTTACTGAATCATAGGCTATGGAGTCTGCAGCCTCCGACCACTCTTCTGGTATGTATATGTTTGCCGTTGAACTTCCAGATTCCAATTTAGAATCCATTGTGGGAGGAAACAAAACAAAAAAGGAACTCTTACCCAGTCAAACTCTCCGTTCACAAATTTTTTTTCAAAGTTACTGAATGGTTCCTGTTATGAAGGCGACGGCGACGGAGACCGCCACCAGAAAGATAGAGGAGAGAGAGAGAGAGAGAAAGAAAGAGTGGTTTTCTCCCACCGGTCGGCAGGCGGAACGGCGGCGACAGGAGGGATGGCCGAGAAAGGTTAGGGTTTTTAGTGAGAGATCGGGGTTTTAGGGTATTTACAGGGGGTCCTAAACGGCATCGTAAGCTGGAGGAGAGGAAAAAAAAAGGGCCGACGCCAGGAAGCGGGTCGGATCAGCCCAGATCCTGCCTTTAGTCTGATTGAAGTGTGCTTTCCCGATGACAAGCAAAATTTTTATAAAAGGGCACTTGGCCTTTTGTTATAAATTTTTAAAAAATTTACATTTGAGGCACAGAAAGGGTGTGAAAGTTATATATTGTCTGTTTACCATGAAGCGACACTTTATTCATTAATAAATAAAAATAAATATTAAAATTTTTTAATATTTAATGAATTTTTTATTTATTTTATAATAAAAGAATTCATTAATTAATTTAATTATTTTAATTTAACAACACCGTATACACATGATTTTCATTTTGATTAATTCGTGTGACCATTAGAAATTTTACATGCTTTTTCTTATATACTAGACATAAGTTATGTATGTTTATATGCACATAGAAATGCTATATGTGTGAGGATTGGATTTCCAGTGAAATCTTTATAAAAAATTGTAAAAAATATTTATATAAAAAAAAAGTAAACAAATATATTCTCTCCACAATCTTTAACAGTTGAGCATAAATAAATTTCAAGCATAACATATACCAAGTATAGAGAGACTTGTGGAGGACATTTTAAAGGGAGTAAAAAAAATTTGGGTTTTTTATTCTATTAAATCTTAAATTTTTTTTATATTTATTTTTGAAATCTTAAAATTTGTTATCTTTATTTATTAGTGAAGTGGCACTTTGTGATAAGCTGACAGTTTGTAAATGCTTTCTATACACTATCATTGTATGAAATATAAATTCAAATAGGAATACGGATATATTTATTAAATATGTAATATTATACGACATGACATACTCAACATGTTTATTAAATAAATTCACTTAAGTTTTATATAATACGACACAATTCACAATCTATTTAAACAATTAACACAATTAATAAAATTAACAAGATTAAACTAAACTACAAATAATTAACAATGAAATAATATTTTATCATTCAAATTTAAAGCTAATAATTATAAAAACAATAATATTCATAGAGTATAATAAGCTCAGCCATCATGATCAACCATAATAAAAATCCATCAAAACCATCAACAACCACAATAAAATAAAGTATTTATATGGGGATATAAACGTGTTAAGTAGATAATTAATTAAATAAATAATAAACAGGTCACGAATTATATAGATACACGATAACATGATTAATTAAACATATTTTAAACGAGTTAAGCATATTTACAAGTTTTAAATAAGAAATATGATTAATCTAAACTTAAACTCAATTAATCTTGTATTTTATTTGTATCGTGTTATCATGTTGTATGCAATATTGTTAGATTTATTTGTTTCTCTCTTGATTGCCAAATTATCCACTATTATTTAAGGGGAATTTCAAAGGGTCATTAGTAATTTATTGTAATCCAGCAAATATATAATAAAAGAAAGGTAAAAAGAAAAAAAGAAAAACAAGACTTAATTGGGAATGAACTTGGAAGAGCAAATTTTTATAGTAAAGGGAGGAAATTGAGCAAAGCACGCATGCACGCATTGTAGCAGAGGGATTCATATCCTCCTTGCATTTTTAGCTAATAGCCTCTCCATCTCACTCCATTGGCAAGGAACGCGAAGAGCTCCTTTCTGGACAAAGCCAAACTCTTCCGCAGCTTGCTCCAACAGCACCAAGAAGCCAGGATGGTTTAGATAACTCAAAGGGACAACGAATCTCTTTGTCTTGTCATTTTCTACGGCAAACACCGCAAAGTGTCCTCCCTTCACATCTTTGACTGATGAACCTGATCGATCACCGCAAACTAGTAACTTTTCTGCTACAATCTGCACGCCAGAAGCTCTAAGCTTGGCCATGGACATGTCTTTCCTCTTGCTTTTGCTTTTGGTTTACATGAGTTTGCAAACATCTTACTTTGACATGGCTTTAAGGGGCCTTGGGGCTTGGAATCAACATGCAATGGAAACAACTGCATGTGAATGGAACTTCAAATTTTATCTTCTCATCAATTCACTTTTGATATGTCCTTTTTGGCTGGTCACATCTGTCTTTTGCATTATTAACTTCTTGTGAAGCAGCTTGTACTTTTGGTCCTCTCTTCAGGCCAGTTTCTTATAGTTTCTACTTTATCTTCACTGCTTCAATCCACATTTTAAGCAAATTTAGAGAATAACAGTTGTTTTAGAAGAGAACCACAAGTGATTTAGTTAGGCTTTTAAAGGCATTGGAACAAAATTCACCTAAAGGTCACAAGTCATATGAAGTATATAACATTTGCTGAAGTTTATGCAAAATTTTAATTGGATCGACCTTTCAATACAACACTAATAATCAGATCTTCAATAAGAATAAACATTTTGATGATGTACTCAGTGAGTGACGGATTTAGTATTTTATATAAATGAGTGGTTAAATGGTAATAATATAAAATCATAAATCTATATATATCAAATTATATATATATTACTAAAAAAATTATAAACTGAAAATTTGAGGGATCGCGCTCATCGACCATGTTCTTTAGTCAAAAGCTTCTCATCAATCATGTGTTTGGGTTTTTTAATCCATTTTCCAATATTTCATGCTCGAGAAGGGTAGCATAATGTTAAGGTGTCTTTTTCTCTCATTTAAGTTTCTACAATGTGTATATATACATATTGGAACAAAAATATTTTATTGTTAGAAAAATATATAATTTAAAAAAAATCTCTTGAATTATTTAAAAAAATTTAAATTAGTATTTTTTATTATATTTAATTAAATTTTTATATTTTTATTTTATTTCAAATAAGTATTTATAATTAATGATCAGCTAGTTGTTTTTAAAAAAATATTATTTGTCATTTTATACTACGTGATGAGCACGTAGCATACTAATATGACCTTGTGACCTAGTTATATTATATTTTCACTCTCCATATCATTATCATGCCAATACCACAAGAATATAAAATAATAATTGATATTTTAACCAATCTTAATTAATTAACTATCAGTTATAAAAATATATTTGACCAAAAATAAGAATACACGAATTTAATTGAATGATATAAAAAAAATTATTTAAATTTTCTTAAATAGTATTTTAGAAACTTTTTCAAATATTATATATTTATATATATGTACTTAATTTCATATTATAAATTTGTAAAGACATCTATTTATATTCTCAAACCTAAAATATTCTCTTTCTAACCAACTCCAAACTCATCTTCACTACTTAAGCTAAGCTCAAGTGGCTTAACCTCATATTCTTTCTTCACAAAATGCTAAACCTATGACAAATTAAAAATATTTTTTTAAAAAATTCTTTAAATGTATTCAAATGCTAATTTTAATATTTTAATATCCTCTTACTCGAGTTGAGATCCTCGATGACTCTCCTTATCGATTACTTTCTAATATAATTAGAAGAGCACAACTACTAAGATGCAGGAATTGGTAATCAAATTTATATACAAATATTTTTTTTTTGGCTTAACATAACATGCCCAAAAAATCCTTATCCAAGCTTTCAGCCATGAGGACCAAAGAATAATCTAAGATTTGTTTTCTAAACAGAAGATAATACACCAATTAATAAATTAAATGTTTAAATGTTTATTATTATTATTATTTATTTACATTGAATATAATGAAATAAAAAGTAAAAGAGAAATGAGGAGACAGATCCATGATCTTCTCCTGCCCAACAAAAGACCATAAATAAATGAGATTGAGACTCTTGAAGAATCTTTTACAAATATCTCCATGATTATGCAACCAACTTTGATACGGATGATTAAATCAGTATCTCTTCTTGGTACACTGATTCATGGGTCCACATTTCTCTACCAAGGTACCATTGGCTTGGGTACACTAATGTACATGCAAGCCTCCAAGCTCCTTAATTCCATGTCGGATAACCATTTTATTCCGAAATTATCTAAAATAAATTTTTTTATCATGTTTATCCCTGTAAATTATGAATAATTATATCATAATTATTTTAATGTTTTATAGTTGCAGATTAATCGATTAAAGAGATTATATAGTCAAAAAAAAATTAAGGAGAATACGAAACTCTGTCTTCTATAGAAGAAAAGTCTTTCTTCTGCAGTTGTTTGAATAAGCTTATAAAATGTTTATATTAAAATCTTGTATCACTTTACATAAATTACAAAAAAGTAAAAAACTTACATCCGAGTATTTGATTTATTAATTAATATAAGATCTTCATCTAAAATTTTTTTTCAAATCCCTTTTTTTCAAATATAAAAAAAAATTAAAAGGTTATATTACGGGATAACAAAAATCTTATAATATATATAATATTATTTTCTCTCTACAATTTTAAATTTTAAATTTGGATCATAGTTTTCAAAATCTTTAAAGTTATTTTTTTTTTCCTTTACATTCCTCGAATTGATAAATTATTGTAGAAAGTAGAAAATGTTCAAAATTGTATGACTCAAATGCAAAAGCAAAGGAATCGTCCTAGGCTAGGTTTGGGCATATATTCTTGGCTCAAGCCAATTATATTAATAAAAAATATATTATTATTTAATTTTAATTGAATTTAAAAGAAATTTAGATATATTAATATGTTAGCATAAAATACTTTTTTAAATGTTTTAATAATAAAATATTATATAAATGGACATGGTAAGCTGAGCTTGGGCTTCACTTTAATGAGCCCAAATCAGGGAAACCTCTATGCAAAAGCAAAGGAAAATATTTATTTTTGCTCAAAATTAAGAACTAAAAACTTTGAGTTCTAACATTATTTAGATCCATAAATAATAATCTATATTTGTTTTAAACTTAATGATAATTGACAAAAACTAAAATATAGTTAAAAATCTACATATATGTATTTTAAAATTAACCTACTGTATTATAATGAATTAACTAAATAATATGAAAAATCCCAACCAAAAAAATTGAAACAATGAAATATTAAAGAAATATATGTCATAATATGTATTATTTACAAATTGGATGAAAAACTTATGTGATTTTAACATAAATGTAGAATGTTTTATTAAATGTAAATTTAAGATGAATGAAATTTTTTTTAAGCATTCTATTTTCTTTCATTTTAAATTTCTTCATATTTTCTCTCTTTTTTTTTCTTTTATTTCTAGTCCCATATTGTATTTAATAAGTTACTTATGAAATGAAATGACATTGAAGTAAGAAGAATATAGATATCCGAGTATTTGACTTATTAATTGATGTATAATCTTCTGTCTAAAGAACAAAAATCGAATCTTCTTTTCTTAATTTACAAAAAAAAAAAAAAGAAGTAGATGGGAAGAGAGAGAAAGTTCAGGAAATGATTCTTGATAGAGTTTTGCTCTATTTACAGTTATGTCACTTATATATTTTACAATGTTATACAAATCTAATTATAGTTAAATCTTTATAAATTAATAATTTTAAAATCATAAAAAATTATTAATTAATAGAAATATTAATTAATTAATATTACATCAATTAATAAGAAAATAAATTATCAAGGTATTCTTTATTTCCTTTTTCAAGACATCGAACTTAATATATGTACTGTGTATTGAGATTATATAAATATTGTCTAATTATTAATTTATGAATTATCATTTTATATATTTGTTTAATCAAAATAAGTTCATGAATATAATTAGTGTTATTAAATAGATGTCAATAAGAAGTGACAAAAAAGATAAAATTGAAAATTATAATTTTGTACTAAAACATGTTTCGTGTAAAGATACATTCAAAAAAACAATTGCATTCCATAATTTTCTTTCTCAATACGAACATTATCTCAAAACTTCTTACTACACTAAGAAAAAGTTAGAGATAAGGTTCAAGAAAATATCAATTTCTTGCTTTGATGATATCAATAGAACTCAATTTTTCTTGGAAAAAAAAAATTCATGCTTAAATAACTCTATCATGTAAAAAGAATAAAATTGAATTGGTTGTAAGGCCTTTGTAAACATGTTTGCAAGTTGAACCTTTGTGGACACATAGCTAGGACGTATGACACCTACAAGAACTTTTTATGAAAAGTAGGGTTCTTGCGAATGTGTAATACCGACCGATTATCGCAATGAAAATCAACAGCACTTATGTGTGACATTCCAAAATCTTTAAGCAAGTATAATGCCGACATAATTTCGCAACAAAAAACAAAAGTTATGGCTTAATACTCAACTTTAATGGAACTTCAAACCACTACCATCTGTATTTTAGACTTCAAGCTCATTAAACAATCATAAGAGGAAGATCCCAAACCTGTAATCAATCTCCCAGTATCTTGGCAGCCTGCCCAATCACAATCTGTGTATTTTACAAGTTTGAATTCAGCCTTTGAAGACATGAGAATCCCTTGCTTTTGTTGTACCTTAATGCTCTGTATGCAGCTTGCAAGTGCACATTACTGGGCTTATCTATAAACTGTAGAATCTGCCAGTTAAGTATTACCAGTTCTTCTTGTCAATTTAAAACTGTAATTAATTGGAGTGGAAATTGGCTTTGGCCCCCCCAAAAATCCATACTCATCAAGAAGAAATTCAAAAAATATTTTTCTGATTAGAAACCAAGGGTTTTGGTGGCCAATGGGCATTCAATATTGTGCTCTTAATTGATGGCTAAAAAAATCTGAGGATAGTGCTTAGCTCAATAATGCTAAACGATGAAAAGAGTGTACATTTGCTTCCACATATGACATAACAAGCATGCTTCTTCATTGCTTTCCTGCCCACACCCTTTGGTGCTGTCTTGTCTACTGCAGTCTTGTACATTTTATTCTTTATTTCCCTATTGGGTGAACTTTAATTGTTGCCAAAAATACCTATTCATTATAATTCAAAGCATTATAGGTTTCTTGAAGTAGTATTCAATCAGTGCCTAATATTTATAAAAAAAAAATTAAGACATAATACATTAAAAAGTTTTTAAAATATTTAAAAAAATTTAAACAAGTTCTTTTTTTTACTGTGTT